TTAACCTCTTTTTAAGTTTTGTGGATATTATACATGGTTATGCTGACGATATGTCGGCCAGTTTCCACTGGAAACGCTTTTTGGTTAAACTGTCAGCAAAGAATTCGAATTTGCACTGTTACATGTTTATGTAACTTTAATGCACATAAAAAACAGCTGCTTGTTTAAGTGAAAATACATTGATGGGTTTTTTTGGGGTTTTTTGCACTAATAAAGTTGTGGAGTTGTAAAGTATTTTGTCTAGTGTCAGTTATATCGTCAGTTATATCGTTATTGCAAATTTTCAAATGTATATCGTGATAAATATTTTTGGTCATATCGCCCTGCTCTACTAACTATACACTCCAAACATGCTAAATGTCACAAATCTGTCGCCTCCCTTCAAAATACACAACTGCAGCTTGGGACACAGCAGACAAGAAGTCATTCCTGTTGTTCTGCATGTCTGTAGAATTGAAGCAGAGTCACATGATCATATACTTGAGGATGCATGGACTGCAACACACACTAGGATGCTTATGTGTCCGTATATGTGCAGCATGGAAGAGCTGAACTTCCTTTGAAATGCTAAAGTGTTGAATAACTGAGTAATTTTACTAAATTTCTATCAAATTTAATCTGCGTCATTACACTTTGATGTTTCATCAGCATCGCAGCAGGTTACTAATGCTTTGCGACACAGACTCACATGGCAGCCTTTCAAATCGATAAAATTAGAGTCCGGCTTCTTCGTAGATCGGGTGCCAGTAAATAGAGCCTTCTTAGTGAGTGACAGCTGGATGCCGTCTTATTTAAATCTCTGGCGTCTGGAGTGTGGCGTTCCCCTGAAGATATGGACGTAGCCAGGTTTGGGTTTTTTTCCTGGACCCGAAGGATCGAGTGTAAGTGATCTGCTAAGGCTTTCAAGCGACGCACAATTACAGACGAAGATTTTCCCATCGTTGCTAACTAATACATTTTTGACACCAAAATCAGAGTTCCTGTGGGATCATTTAAGAACAATAGAATCTGTGGATTCCTTTGAAACATCACTATGGAGCATTTTGGATGTAAGAGTGTTCAGATTTCAATAGATGATGACGAGGTGGACTAATCTGGCACCTCTGAGAAGTTATTCATGCTAAAGGGAGCAGTGATCTCTAAGGTCAAGGCTGCATTCGCTTTTCCACTAAAGAATATTGCAGCTTTAATTTTCAAACATTAATAAAAAAAGATTATGTTTCTGTGTAGTTTCACCAAGTCTGACAAGTTTTCAAGGACGATGAAGTGTTTTCTTATTCAACTAAATATTAATCTTAACAAAGCAACGCATCCCTTGGATCGAGAGTTGAGGCTCAGGTGTGAAAT